AAAAAAAAAAAAACAAAAAACTAATTTCTAGTTAAGAAGTATTAGGCTGGACACAGTAGCTCATGCCTAACACTCTTAGAGGCCACGTTTGGGAGGATCCTTTGATCTCATGAGTTTTAGACTAAGCCTGAGCAAGCGTGAGATCCTCTCTCTACTAAAACTAAAAAACTGAGCCATGAATTGTGGTGGGCGCTTGTAATCCTGGTACTTAGGAAGCCTAGGAAGATCACTTAAGTTCAGAGTCTGAAGTTGCTGTGAGCTATGATCCCAGGACATTCTAGCTTGGGACAACAGAGTCAAACGACCATAAAAAAACAAAAATACAGTAAACAAAAAAATTATTTATCTCCTAGTATTTTCACATCTGTCATTAGCAACAGTGGCTTGGCTTTCAAAATGGAATGAAAGATCTTTCTTCTTCTTCTTTTTTTTTTTTTAAAGAGATAGAGTCTTACTTTATCACCCTCGGCAGAGTGCTGTGGCATCACAGCTCACAGCAACCTCCAACTCCTGGGCTTAGGCAATTCTCTTGCCTCAGCCTCCTGAGTAGCTGAGACTATAGGTAACCACCACAATGCCCAGGTATTTTTGTTGAAGCTTGGCCAGGGCCAGGTTTGAACCTGTTACTCTCAATATATGGGGATGGCGCCCTACCCACTCAGCCACAGGTGCAGCCTGAGAGATCTTTCTAATATATAAACATCTCCAAGATCGTTCTCATAGTTAGTTTCCATATCACATGAATTCCTGTTAACCATGATAAAAATAAAATAGAAAAACCTTGGCTGATTTGCAGATACAAGAAGAATGGCTAGTTTTACCCACAATTTAAAGAGCCAGCATTGCTTACTGGCTCTAATTATGATTTGAAGCATAATGAAAATAATAAACATTGTTGTGAGAATTTGACATTCCTAAGTCACTGGGACTTAAATCAAGAAATGTTAATATTTATAAAAGCTAATCATAAAAGCCAGGCCATTACCTTTTAAGGAAAGTAAAAAGTGAAAGAAATAAATGAGTACTCTTTGAATTTATAAAGCAAAGAAAGTGTGGTATTAAAGAGAAAGAGGACTAGGGTCAGTTGGCCCACACCTAATAATCCCAGCACTTTGGGAGGCTAAAGTTGGAAGACTGCTTGAGGCCGGCTTGAGAGTACCCTGGGAAACAATGCCAGACTTCATTAGCCATATTTGATGGAGCATACCTGTAGTTCTAGCTACTCTGGAGGCAGAGGCAGGAGGACTGCTTCAGCCCAGGAGTTCAAGATTGCCGTGAATTATAATTGTGCCATTGTACTTTAGCCTAAGTGAAAAGAGACCCTCTCTCAAGCCTAAGTGAAAAGAGACTGTCTCAAAACTAAAATTTTTTTTAAGTTGAGAAAAAATAGGCAAAGGGAAAGAATCAGTGAAGAGGGGGATGTGAGCTAGCTCTATCTAAGAATACAGAAGATGATAGTTTTATGCTCATTACAGAATAAGAGTTAGTCACCCAAAGAAAAAGCATTTATAACATTATTTTAAGTTTAATTTATATGTGTTCCAATGCCCCAGAAAGGTTACCTTACTACTCAAAGGTGTCTCCTGATTCCAAATATTATTCCATAATGCCACACCTGTTCTGGCAGTGGTATCTTGGTAGGCAGGAACTGCTTTTAAATTGTACAATCAACTACACAAACAGGTAGAAAGGCCCTGTGTTGCCTATTTAGGAATGTAGATCTCGAAATGCCGAAGTGATAAAAGAAGATATAGTTCCCTTATAGTTTAGCCAAGGTAAGGATCCTAGTTACAAAGAATAAATTGTGCGCCAAAGCTATACCCTGAATTCTTACTCATTTCCCCTTGTCTATCTTTTTTATACTTACCAACTTATCAGTCCCATGATCTGTCTTCACCTCAGAACTAAGTGGAAGAAATGAGTCTGTCGTTGTGTGCTCTGGGGAAGGTGCCTCCCCAAGAACTATTAATCCCTGCAGGACAGAGAAGAGAGAAACAGCGTTGAGTGATATAAATTACAAATTCAATTTAACTCTGAGCCAGGAGTTAATCTCAAAAGGATTGAGGTTAGTTAGCTTACCTGTGGCCTTTTCTCTATCCTATGGTTCAAAAACTATGCCAGCAGCAACTTTACTTCTCCTCTTAAAAGTAAAAGGCTTAGCAGTAGCAGAGTTATTTACTAAGGCATAAGACTCAAACTCAAGCTTCACCCTCTCTTCTACTTGAATACTCTGACATACGTGTCTTGTTAGCCATTTAGCATCTTTGTTCAGATCTTCCAGATCTGTAATCTTACCAGATTATGGTACTTCCAACTAGACTGTACTGGATTAATAGTAGCAATGCAATTTCTCTTCTTTACCTAATCACAGACATGGTTTCAGGATTACTAAAGTTGAAAGTGTTACTATTCTAAATCATGACCTCAACCAATTGTATCTGAGCAAACACCTGAGTGAGAACAAGTATGGTGGCTAAGCCCTACAACTTTGGGAGGTGGAAGACTGCTTGAGGCCAGCCTGAACAAAGATGAGACTCTTGTCTCCATCAAAAAAATGGAAAAATTAGCTGATCATGATAGCACCTGCCCATAATCCCAGCTACTAAGGAAGCTAAAGTAGAAAGATCGCTTGAGCCATTGTACTCTAGCCTAAATGATAAGACTCCATCTCAAAAAAAAAGACAAGAGAAACAAGAAGTGTCCCTTGTAATTCATGAGACGCCAAGAGCTTAAAAAACTGTCCCCAAAGCACCTGGTTTTTTATAAGCACAAATATTATCTCAGATTAAATTCCTGCTTAACTGCAAATTCAGATCTCCCATTTATCCCAGGAAATAAAAAGAAATTGAAAACAAACCCACAAATCCTCTCTATAGCAGGCATGATGAGCCCAGCTTAGTAAAGGTGGAAGTTAGCTTACTATGAAAATAATAAACAAATACATAAACCCCTCCAGGAATAAAAAGAAAGGTGACCAAAATCACTTTATGACACTGAAATAGAAAGGCTGGGATCCAAGTGACCAAGGCTCCCAGCCGTGGCATTCTACTCAGGGTGACAGAGACTCAATCTCAAAACAAAGAATAATTAATAACAACAAAAACAAAACAACTACATATCATTTACTACATACTCAAGGTACATAAATTGTTTTCCTTTCTCCTTCTAAGGCACAGAAGCATCTTTTAAAAAAAATAAGCTCACAAAATATGAAAATTAAAATAACACAATAGTATAGAGAAAAGTACAGAGGAGTTCCTAGAAATTGTATTCTTTCTCCAGAGAGCAACAAGAATTGTTGTTCCCAAAAGGGACCTTACTCACTTAACAGTTTGGAATGTAATACCTAATTTGACAGAACAGAAACTGGTGTCTGGATCACAGAATCACCACACAGTTGCTTTCAAATACCTATTTTTTGTTAATATGCCATCTTAAGAAAACTAATACTAACAATAAAGTAAATTCTTAGGGAAAAAAGCCCAACATCTACTGAACTCCCCACCCAAAGACAAATTTATAACTCAATAGCTAATCATCAAATCTAGATTCATCGCATGACCTGTACAACCCACGCAGTTCCTGCAAATTTTGTAGCAGGACAGGAAATGGGAATACCAACCCAAGTACTAAGACACAGGGAAAATTCCTTCCATTTCAGTAACTCAAAAAATAACCAAACACTTAAAGTGACTGCTAACTTGAGCAATAGCACTGGAGCCAGACACCCAAAAGTCAGCTCTGCACTCGCTTAGATGTATGAACAACTTAAACTCTTTGACTCTCCATTTCTTATCTTTAAAACTAAAGATGACAAGAAAGTGCTTAGTAGAGTGCCTGGTACATAGTAAGTGCTCAAAGACTTCTCTTATTTAATAGCGTTACATAAAGTCCAAATGCATGTGAATATATCATTGTGGGAGAATTCCATGATTTATTTGTTAGACTGGGTTGAATAGTGTCCCCTCGAAAATTGAAGTCTTCCCAGAACCTGTAACTGTGGCGTTCTTTGGAAGCAGGATCTTTGGAGATGTAATCAAAATAAAATAAGCCCTGTAGTGGGGGCTGAAAATCCGGACAAAGACATACAGAGGAAAATGGTCATGTGAAGGTGGGAGGCAGCAATAAGAGTGATGTAGCTACAGGCCAAGGATTGCCACTTATCACCAGAAGTTAGAAAAAGGCAAGGAAGGATTCTTCCCTAGAACCTTCAGCACTGCTCTGATGACTCCTTAATTTCAGACTTCTAGCCTCTAAAACTATGAGACAATTTGGTGCATTTTAAGCCACCCACTTTATAATAGTTTGTTATGGCTGGAGGTGGTGGGTTCAAACCCAGACTCGGCCAAAAACTGCAAAAATATATATATATACTTACTCCTCTCCTACAAAAAAAAAAAGAAAAAAAGAAAGAAAAAGAATATACTTACTGTGCTTTGAACTTCTTTTGAAAATAATCTAATTAATTATCCTTAAAAATTTTTGTAGAACACCTAAGATCCTCAAGTCTACCACATACAATTATCTATAATAATTGATAACAATAATAAAAAACTATATGACTGATGTGTATATTTATTGTACTTTATTTTTACTATTTTAATGTATTTTATAGTGTACTCCTTCCACTTATAAAGAAAAGCTAATTACAACAATATCCTCAAGTAGGTCCTCAAGAAGTATTCCAAAAGAAGGCACTGTTAGTACAGGAGATGGCAGCATCATGTTTTTGTTCCAGAAGACCTTCCAGTGGAACAAGATACAAAGGTGTCTAGGACAGTAATACTGACGACCCTGACCCTTGGCAGGACTAGTTAATGTGTATATTTGTGTCTTAGTTTTTAATATGAAAAGTTAAAAGCACGGAGGCTCACGTCTGTAATCCCAGCATCTGGGAGGCTAAGGCAAGCAGAACGCCTGACCTCATGAGTTCAAGACCAGCCTGAGCAAGGGTGAGACCCCCCCATCTCTAAAAACAGCCTCGCATTGTGGCGGGCACCTGTAGTCCCAGGCAATACAATTGCTTGAGCCCAAGATGCCATGGCACTCTACCTAGGGTGACAAAGTAAAAGTCTGCCTCCAAAAAAGAAAAAATGTTTAAAAGAATTTACTTTTAAATAGAAGAGACTTGTAGATTAAGTATAGGGAAAAAAAAATCTTTGTACAAGTAAATAATGGGTTTGTGTTTTAAGAATAAGTATTATTATAAAAGCCAAAAGGTTAAAATAAAAAGTTTATCGTATCAAAAGGTTACTGCAAGCTAAGGTTATCTTTGAAGAAAGAAAAATCTTTCAAAAAAAAATTTAGCATAGCCTAAGTACACAGTGTTTATAAAATCTGTAATAGTGTATGGTAATGTCCTAAGCCTTAATATTCACTCACCACTTAACTGACTCACCCAGAGCAACTTCTAGTCCTGTAAGCCCCATCCACTGTAACCGTTTTTGTTTTTATACCATATCTTTACAGTACTTTCTATGTTTAGTTATGTTGAGATACATAAGTACCTACCATTGTGTTATAACTGCCTACAGCAGTCAGTATAGCAAAACATTGTGCAGGTGTGCAGCCTACAGGCAATAAGCTGTATACCATATAGTCCAAGTGGATAGTAAGCTACACCAACTCAGTTTCTGTCAAGTATACTCTGATGTGTACGTGACAAAATCACCTAATACCACAATCAAGATGCATCTTATAATTGCTGTTCTCCCTAGTTTAGGGGAAATCATTTCTTTTTGCTATGCAGAATAGAGGTGCATCTTACAATCAACAGCATCTTAGGTTCTATGAAATGTGGTAGTTTTGTAACAGGGAACTAAAATAACATAACATATATAACATACACATACATAAACCCACATACATATATTTATGAATGTACATAAAAAGATGAAGCAATACTTACTAGTACTATTATACTCAGTTGTTACTAAGAGACATTAGTTCTCAAATACAGAAATTCTCCCTGAACTACTGGCTGTGAAAACCTAGAAACAAAAAGTGAAGGCGTACCTGATAGAGAAAGACTGTTTTTTTTCTCCTTGGGATTGGCATATCGAGTCACATGGATGTGGTCCACCATTTGAGTTCACATTCTACAAACCTCACTTTAAAATTTCCTTTGCAAAGAGCTAAGGAAAGCAAAATATTCATGACCCGTGGAATATTTTTCACTTTTGCTCTAGCTAATTTTTAACAAAGTCAGTTGGGATTTAATTTGTTCTCTAAGGGAAAAAAAAATTTTTTAAGTGCATCCCCAGGACTGTGTCCTCAATTATAATGTTTAACCAAACTTTTGGAGATTTATATATAAACCGAATTTGGAGAGAAGCCTGAAGAAATCTCCAGTGGAAATTACAGAATAAAAGATAGATATATATGTATATATGTATTTGTTGATGACAGGGTGTCACTCTGTTGCCTAAACTAGAGCACAGTGGCATGATCATAGCTCACTGCAGCCTCAAGTGATTCTCTTGCCTCAGTCTCCTGCATAACTGGGACCACAGTCATACACCACTCTGTCCAGCTAATTTTTAAAAATTTTTATAGAGACAGGGTCTCACTGTTTTGCCATGGCTGGTCTCAAACACCTGAGCTCAAGTCATCCTCTCACCTCAGTACCCCAATGTGTTAGCATTACAGGCATGACCTATAGCACCTGCCCAGGAATTTATGGCATAAAAGTTTAAATGATACAGGAGACTACAGAACTTTTACTTCAAACGCTGATAATTTTATTTATCTTGTTAGTTGATCAACCTTTGTCCTTTGGCTTGTAAGTATATACTGTTCATGGTATAGCAATTTTCTTAAAGCTTTGACTAGTACTAAGGAAAAGCATTATGGCACTTATTTTTAGGAGCAACAGATTTTATCTAGAGCCCTATGTCATGTTAGTCACAGAGCTCAACCATACCAAACTATTAAGACTTAAAAAAAGAAAAAATACTCTGTAAGAACAGAAGCTCCATGAGCGCAGGACTTCTGTTCACCACTGTGACTGGACTATGCTGTTATGTGGTAGGCACTCATTATTTGCTGAATCCATTTGCTTTCTGTGCAAATGTCTTGAGTCACATCCAATCTGATTAGAGGACATTTTTCAAGTTGATTTTTCAAGAAGTAAAACTATGCATAATGTCAACTGTCAAAAGTTGTGCAGTAGCAATCAGTCCTCCACAGACAGGAGAACACAGGAAAATAAAAATTCTAATCACCAATGTCTAATTTTGCCTGAATAATCTTCTAGTGAAAACCCTATTTCTCCACAAGAAATCAAGGGAAGCTTGCCAATAAAACAAAAACGCGTCTAAGAAAAACTGCAGGAAGATGAAAATCCTCCATAGTACTTTTCCACAAATGTAACAGATATCAGAGTTATATGAATACCTTACATTATATACTCTCTTTCTCTTGTGACACTCACACTGTTTTGTTAAAAACATTATATTCTGGGGTGGTGCCTGTGGCTCAAAGGAGTAGGGCAATGGCCCCATGTACTGGAGGTGGCAGGTTCAAACTCGGCCTGGGCCAAAAAAAAAAAATTATATTCTAACAGTGTTTTCTGAACTACCCTAAGCAGTATCGGGCTCTTAAATTAAATCACTATATCAGATCACTAAACTATTTACTATGAAATAGTTAAGCCTTACTGAAGAGGTGGGAGGGGTACAGGGTAAGAGGGGTAATTACCTTATTAGCACGTATCTGTTTGTAAATGTCTGTTTGCTGCCGAATTCGATATTCCAAGTCAGAAACATGAGCCTGAAGCCAGTTCCAGCGGCTGACAATAGCTGCTCGGTCTGCAGCCCATCTCCATTCTGACCTGCGTCTCCTAAAAGGAAATAAAGTGAATGAAATCCATAGGCAGCAGCAGTATCCATGGGTAAGAATTAGGAGTAGGCCTTTATATACACTAATTCTAGTGTCAAGAAAGACCTAAGACACACCATCACCCATATATATACACTCCCAACAGGACACACTTGGATAAAACCCTTCCTATAGGTACTTCCCAAATTAAGTGGAACTGCCTCCTAGTATCCTGTTCCTGTAGCATCTATTTTTCTGAAATTAAATTTTTCATGAGATATTAGCATTTTCTATGTTAAAATAAGACAGATATAAAGACAACCTATACAGAAAATCCAAGAGACATTATAAATTATTAAAGCTAGTTAAGAATTCAGCAAAGGTGCTGAGTAAATATCAACATAAACTAATAGAAAAGTAAAAAATATATATATTGGGGGGGGGGGAGTTAGATAGTCTCACCCTGTTGCCCAGGCTAGAGTGCCATGACATCAGCCTAGTTCACAGCAACTCTCTTGCTCAAATGATCCTCCTACCTCAGACTCCTCAGTAGACTACAGACATGTGCCACCACAGCTGGCTAATTTTTTCTATTTTTAGGAGAGATGGAGTCTCAGACTCCTAAGCTCAAGCAGTACTCCTGCTTTGGCCTGAGTGCTAGAACTACAGGAGTGAGCCATCACACCTGGCCAAAAAATGCATGTATTTTTTTTTTTCTTTTTGAGACAAGAGTGCTGTACTATCACAGCTCACAGCAACCTCAAATGCTTGGGGGCTCAAGTGATCCCTCTTGCCTTAGCCTCCTGAGTAGCTGAGACTATAGGTACCCACCATAATGCCTGGCTAATTTTTCTATTAATAGTAGAGACAGGTCTCAATCTTACTCAGGCTGGTCTTGAACTCTTGAGCTCAAGCAATCCCACCTCGGTCTCCCAGAGTACTAGGATCACAGGCATGAGCCACTGTACCCACTCCAGAAAATACTCATTTTTAATAAGCAATATTTATAATACCAATGCAAGGTATTATGACATAAAAATATAGGGAAAATAATAAAACCTGGAAGGCATAAATATCTATATAAATGACAGCATACATTTTTTTTAGGATAGCAAGTTGTGCATACATCTAGAAATTCAAAGAAATCCCTAAATCCCCTACAAGGCTTTTAATGTAAGGTGAGAAACAGATCCAAAATTTCACATGAAGAAAAAACCAAATGTCAAGAAATTTGGAACAAAATTGTCAGGCAACACAACTTATTACAAAGCTATAATAATTAAGGCAGTGTAGAACAGACAGTAATCGAACAACAGACAGACTACACAGGACCTAGAAACTTAGAATTAAATGTATAAAAGATATGGCATTCAAATTAGTGGGGAAGACTGAACTATTGAATATATTATACTGATCAGTTTGTTAGATGGAAAAAGTAAAATTAGCTCTCTTCATGATGTAATCGCTAAATCTGAACCGCCAAACTTTAAAAAAAAAAAAAAAAAGGAGTATCTCTTCAGGACTTATAGAAGGAAAGGATTTCTTAAATAAGACACAAAAACATCACCTAATTTTCAACATATAATAAAAGACCAAATAAAGTTAAAAGGGAAGCTACTGCAGTAGAAGATAGCCAGTAGCACATGTAACTAAAGATTAAACATCATAGAAACTTCTAATGATATAGTGTTTAGCAATTACTTTATGTATTAATATTACTAAATGTCAACAATGTTGAATGGAAATAGTAAAGAGACCGGAGAACATATAAAGAACTCATATACTACAAATTCCCAATAACAGTTCTCATATCTCTGGGAAAGGGGGTACAATGTAATGTTGACATCTCTTTTTCAAAAAAGATGTCAACATTACATTGTTTAAAAAAGAGATATCTCTTTAAAAATATAGAAATGTGGTATCGTTTTAACATTCTTTAAATATTAGAGGCTCAGTGCCTGTGGCTCAAGCGGCTAAGGCGCCATCCACATACACCTAAGGTGGTGGGTTCGAATCCCCAGCCCGGGCCCGCCAAACAACAATGATGGCTGCAACCAAAAAATGGCCAGGCATTGTGGTGGGCGCCTGTGGTCCCAGCTACTTGGGAGACTGAGGCAGGGGACTCGCTTGAGCCCAGGAGTTGGAGGTTGCTGTGAGCGTGATGCCAGGGCACTCTACCCAGGGGGATAGCTTGAGGCTCCGTCTCAAAAAAAAAAAAAATATATTAGAGAGGGTACATGATACCTACTATATTCTGTAATAAAAACATTGCATAATTTACAACAAAATTATTTTTCCTAGCCCTATTTCCAATCAGAATACAAATACTCATCCCTAAAAATTTTAAGTAGTGATTATACATGAACTTTTACACAGTCTCTCAATGGGACAAAACATAACCTAATGTCAATAATAAAAGAGAACAAACCAGAGTCAGGTTAGAAAGGAGTATCCAACTGTGGGATATTAATTAAGTCCAAGGGAATAGGTGCTATGGCTTACAATTTAATCACAGCATTTAGGAGGCCCTGCCTAGTTCAAGACCAGCATGGACAACACAGAGAGCCCCTGTCTCCACAAAAACATTTTTTAAAGTAGCCAGGCAAAGTGGTGTGTGTTGTAAAATCCTAACCAGTCAGGATGCTCAGGCAGGAAGACCACTTGAGTCCAGGAGCCTGGGCTGTGATTCTGCCACAGCCTGGGTACCAGAGGAAGATGCTGCCCACCTCCAGAAAAAAGGAAGGAAAGGAAAGGAGAAAGAATAAAAGGAAAAAGAAAGGAGAAAAGTGACCAAGGATAGCTAGCAATAGTATGTTAACTTCCGTATGGGCCAAACATTAGCCACTCAAATCAATGACTGTGATAAAGTATTATCAATTATTTCCCTTTTACAGAAACAAGGCATTTAATAGTTCCCTAACCTTGACAGAACCAGTATAAGATAAAATTATTTTTAAGTACATTTGTCTGTTTCAGTGTTGGCTGCAGGTCTAGTTCTAGCTCAAATCTAGGAAAGCACCTCAAGGTATCAAGAATAACCTAGGGTAGCCGGGCACAGTGGCTCATGCCTGTAATCCCAGCACTCTGGAAGGTTGAACTGGCTGGACTGCCTGAGCTCAGCAGTTCTACACCAGCCTGAATAAGAGTGAGACCCCCATCTCTAAAAATAGCCAGGCGTTGTGGCAGGCGCCGGTAGTCCCAGTTACTTGGTTAGCTAAGGCAAAAGGATCACTTGAGCTGAAGTGTTTGAGGTTGCCGTGAGTTATGACACCATAGCACTCTGCTGAGGGTGCCAAAGACTCTATCTCAAAAAAAAAAAAAAAAATTTATTCTTGAATTATAAAAAGACCCTACCCTCCAAAGAGAAAAAGCTAGCTACACCTCAAATGAGTTTTATTACCTTTTAAGGCTCACGATCTTCCTGTTCTGCAGTATCTCTTGGTTGTTCACGTTCCTTTCATTTTTTAAAGTTACCACTATACCAGGTACCCATCAATCACCCCCACTGGCTACTCTAACAGCATCCTTTGCAGGTCATCCCAACACCAGTCAATGATACGACTTTCTTCAATAAATTTACAAACTAATCTCTTGCAGTCACTCTTAAGTTTAACGAATCACATAGGTCCTTTATTTCTTTTCAAATTCTGAGTATTCAAGGAAGTACAACAGTGTAAGAAGAATCAAGTATTGTAAAAGATATCTGAAGCCAAAAACTGATGATAAAATTGACAGAAATCTATTTAATTACAGTTTACTCACAGATAAATCTGTTCTACAAACTGACAGTTGCCAGCCAAAACCTTCTTAATAAAAACCAAAGCAAAGAAAAGATAATTTCTTGGCAAATTCATGCCACTTCCTCCCTAGTCATCCTTGGTAGACAAAAAAGATTCTGGCAGTCTCTCCCAAAGATCCTGAACTTAGCTCATAAGCCTTCTCAGGACAGTGTTCAGGACACCAAGCACTCCAAATTGGCAGCAAAGATGAAACCTATTTGTTAATAACCAAACAAATATTTCTTTTCTTTTTCGCCGTCTTGGAAGCTTGAAAATACATTAAAAAATAAATAAAAATAAAAAAATAAAATATTTTAGTCCATGCAAATTTTTATAATTATCTTTTTTTCTTCTATATTAATGAAAGGAGATCAGAAGAAGCAGGCCTACTACACAGGGTATTCTCTGTAGTAACAATATAAAGTGAGGCCAGGTGTGATGGCTCACACCTATAATCCGAGGCAAGGGGACTGCTTGAGCTCAAGAGTTCAAGACTAGACTGGGCTAAAGCAACCCCCCCCAGCCCCGCCCAACTGCAAGTCCCCATCTCTAACAACTAGCTGGGAGTTGTGGCAGGCGCCTGTAATCCCAGCTACTTGGGAGGCTGAGGCCAGAGAACAGCCTGAGCCAAGAGTTTGAGGTTGCCGTGAGCTACGACACTATAGCAATCTACTGAGAGTGACAAAGTGAGACTCCACATCTCAAAAAAAAAAAAGAAAAAAAAAAAAAAGGCTTGGAGCCCATAGTCAGTAGTTAGGGTGCCAGCCACATACACTGGGGCTGGCAGGTCTGAACCCAGCCCGGGTCTGCTAAAAACTAGCAGTGACAACTGCAGCAACAAAAAAAAGCTGGGTGTTGTGGCAGAAGCCTGTAGTCTCAACTACTTGGGAGGCTGAGGCAAGAGAAGCTTAAACCTATCAATTTGAGGTTGCTGTGAGCTGTGACACCACAGCATTCTACCCAGGGCAACATTGGGAAACTCTGTCTCAAAAAAAAAAATGGAAAGCAAAGTGAGCCTGGTTATATTTGGGGGGAGACTAATAAACTAATTAAATAAAGGTGGCCAAGGTAATTCAGCAATTCTCAATTTCTGAACAGGTTTTATATCTATTATATAATGCTTTAGAACTAGAATTGATTTTCCATAGAAAGTTGTCACGTTATTATTCCATAATGCTGCTCAAGCTTTTGAGTATCTATAATGAAAAATGGAAAACCCCATCCCAAGTGTCCACAGAATATCTTGTATTCAAAGCAAGCAATGTCCTTGCTTCGGCAACATACACGCTAAAATTGGAACGATACAGAGAAGATTAGCATGGCCCTTGCGTAAGGATGACAGGCAAAATACCAGCAACATGAGCAGAAAGCTGAGGTGTTAGTAAAGTGGAGTGATATACAATTAGCAAGTCTGGGATGAGCTATGAAGATGTTACCATATGCCAGTGGCAGGGCAGATTGTTATCACAAGAACAAGACTTTAACATCATATGGTTTTTTCCTTAACAAAAGCAGTAAGAGATAGAAACTTAGCTCATCAGAGGCAAAGGCAGGTATCCTTATAACCCTATATTCAAAATAATATAAATTATTACTCTGATAATTTAGAGTTCAAGAGATAGTGATTTAATATTAGGGACATGCTTGATACTATACAGACTTCAAAAAGGAACATAGGACAAAGGTTACAGAATTACACTTTAAATACAACGATTTGGTTTCTTTGTTATCAACAATGAAGAGATATATGAATTCCAATATTAGTAAGTCATTGAACTCTTTCTTGTTGCTTATTCTATGGTAACAATTAGTGAAATAATTGCTTTAACTGTGTGTGTGAACAGGACTCCAGAATGCCTTCAAATGATTTTGCTGTGTGCATTATCTCAAAATGTATACTGCATGTACTGTGGCTACCAAATGAGTTAGAATTCCTTTAACTTTTTTTTTCTCCTCGCTATAAGCTTTTTTATAGGTAAATTGGCCTTATCTGCTATGTTAAAATCCACTAAAATTTTATACTATGAATTGCTTTCTGGTCACCTAAATGCAATAAAATACAGTACCAGTATTTACCTTTGTGTAACCACATGATTAATAAATTTCAGTGTTGCCAGCCATGATTTATATAAGAAATATTTGTTGTATAAATAGATTTTTTATGTCATGTGAACTTATATAGTTCTTTGTACAGGGTTAGTAGACTATTACCACACTATCTAAAACTTAGGTTGCTTTACTGAATTCAAGAATAGAAATTATTGTCTGTACCTGAGCAAAAAAAACCTTTTCTTTTAGAAATAAAAAACTCTGTACAAACACTATATATACCATACAATGAAAATAATCTTTTTCCCTTCACAAATTTAGAGTTCAGCTTATATGTTGATAAAAATTAGTTTTTCTTTTTTCTTTTTTAAAGACAGAGCCTCAAGCTGTTCCCCTGGGTAGAGTGCTATGGCATCACAGCTCACAGCAACCTCCTGGGCTCAAGCAAGTCTCCTGCCTCAGCCTCACAAGTAGCTGGGACCACAGGCACCCGCCACAACGCCTGGCAATTTTTTTTTTTTGGTTGCAGCCATCCTTGTTGTTTGGCAGGACGGGCTGGAGATTTGAACCCGTCACCTTAGGTGTATGTGGCTGGCGCCTTAGGCGTTTGAGCCACAGGCGCCAAGCCCTGTTTTTAGTTCTTTAAAGCCGCTTTAAACGATACTGTTAATGGAAATGTTTCATTAGAAAAGGACAGATTGACCTAGAAGCAGATTTTTGCTCCTTCCTGAATCTCTGGTTTGGCCCTCCTGCCTCTACTCCAAGTCTTCACCATGTCCATCAGGGTTACCCAGAAGTCCTACAAGGTGTCCACCTCTGCCCCACGGGCCTTCAGCAGCCATTCATACAGCAGTGGGCCCGGTGCCTGCATTAGTTCCTTGAGCTTGTCTTGGGTGGGCAGCAGCAGCTTCTAGAGTGGCCTAGGCACTGGCCTGGGTCTGGGTGGAAGCTACGCCAGGATTGGAGGTATTGGAGGGGGCGCGGGGCGGCGGTGGCATCACAGCTGTCATAAGTGAACCAGAGCCTCCTGAGGTTGCTCAACCTGGAGGTGGACCCCAACATTAAGACTGTGCAGATCCAGGAAAAGGAGGCGATCAAGACCCTCAACAAGTTTGCCTCCTTCATCAACAAGGTGCACTTCCTGGAGCAGCAGAACAAGATGCTGGAGACCAAGTGGAACCTCCTGCAGCAGCAGAAGACGGCTCGCAGCAACATGGACAGCATGTTTGAAAGCTACATCAACAACCTTCAGCGACAGCTGGACACACTGGGCCAGGAGAAGCTGAAGCTGGAGGCAGAACTTGGCAACATGCAGGGCCTGGTGGACTTCAAGAATAAGTATGAGGAGGAGATCAACAAGCATACAGAGTTGGAGAATGAATCTGTCCTCATCAAGAAGGATGTGGATGACGCATACATGAACAAGGTGGAGCTGGAGTCCCGCCTGGAAGGGCTGACTGATGAAATCAACTTCCTCAGGCAATTGTATGAAGAGGAGATCCATGACCTGCAGTCCCAGATCTCAGACACGTCAGTGGTCCTGTCCATGGACAATAGTTGCTCCCTGGATATGGACAGCATCATTGCTGAGGCCTGCGCCCAGTACAGGGAGATCACCAACTGCAGGTGGGCTAAGGCTGAGAGCATGTACCAGACCAAGTACGAGGAGCTGCAGGTGCCGGCTGAAAAGCATGGGGATGACCTGTGGCACACGAAGATGGAGATCTCCGGCTCAGAATAAGATCAAAGCTCTCAAAGGTCAGAGCGCTTACCTGGAGGCCTTCACCGCAGATGCTGAGCAGTGTGAGGAGCTGGCTCTTAAGGATGCCAACACTAAGCTGGCCCAGCTGTAGGCCGCCCTGCATTAAGCCAAGCAGGACATGGCTCAGCAGCTGCGGAAATACCAGGATCTGATGAATGTAAAGCTGGCCCTGGATGTGGAGACTGCTGGAGGGAGAGGAGAGCCGGCTGGAGCTGGGGGTGCAGAACAAGGGTATCCACACTAAGACCACCAGTGGCTACTCAGGTGGCCTGAGCTTGCCCTATGGGGGCCCCACAAGCTCTCGCTTCAGCTATGGCCTGAGCTCCTTCAGCTGCACCAGCTCCAGGGCTGTGGTTGTGAAGAAGTTTGAGACCCAAGAAGAGAAGCTGGTGTCTGAGTCCTCTGATATCCTGCAAAAGTGAGCTGTCACTGCAGCCCCTCCAGTCCACCCTCTCACACGGCTGCCACGGAGCCTGTGGAGGAGGCTGTTGTGCCAGGGAGCACATGGAACAGGAGACCCACCAGAGGCTCAGCCCTATCCCTCAGCCCATCCTTGTGGGGAGTTTACCACCTGGGTAAATTTACATACGCCCCCAACTAAAAACCAATTTGATTGCCTTTTTCCAAAATAAACCCTCAACTGTATTGCCAACAAAAAAAAAAAAAAAGAAAGAAAGAAAGAAAGAGAAAAAGAAAGGACAGATCAGCCTCCACAACTATAGCTCAGCAGCTAGGGCACCAGCCACATACACCAGGGCTGGCGGGTTTGAACCCAGTCTCGGGCTGCCAAACAACGACACCTGCAACAACAACAACAAAAAGCCAGGTGTTGTGACAGGTGCCTATAGTCCCAGCTCCTTGGGAGGCTGAGGCAAGAGAATCACTTAAGCCCAAGTGTTTGAGGTTGCTGTGAGCTGTGACACCACAGCACTCTACCCAGGGTGACAGCTTGAGACTGTCTCAAAAAAAAAAAAAAAACCCAGATCAACACTGGAACTTTTACATAAGGAGATTTAACCACTAATAAGTGTATGGGGACAATTTTATTAGAAATTGTACACTGAATCCTCAAAGGTGTCAATGATACAATCTTGTCTATTGCACCATAAGAGGCAATGATCTGAATCACATAACTCAGAGATGGTTACCATTAATTCTGCTAAAATACAAGTGTTAAGAAATGTAATTTATGCTAACAGAGAAAATGAAAAGGATTTACAATATAACACCCCTTACTATCAATGTATTGGTAGTCAATGGGTTTAAAAGAGACTATTAATAAATCAACTCCTTGGACTATAACAAAGGCTATCTTAGATGCCTGAAGCACAGCCATAGACAGTAGAGCATAGAGTAACAGGCAGCTGTAGTTGATACTTCCTTTTTTCTTAGACATATGCTATAGCAAAAGCTATTCATTTATTTATAACCAACACTAAACGCTAGACATCGAGCCACATCACACACCAGGCATGAGTGCTGCCTGTAATTAAGCCAACTAATCCTATTCCAAGATGGAATATTTGTATATAAATCCAATAGAACTTCTCTTCCCTGATCTAGAAAATTAAAAAAAATCTCAGGCTGGGCACAGTGGATCATGTGTGTAATCCTAGCACTCTGGGAGGCTGAGACAGAAGGATCACCTGAGATTTTGTAAGTTCATGACCAGCCTGAGCGAGGTCCCCGTCTCTACTAAAAATAGTCAGGTATGGTGCCACTTGGCTATAGTCTCAGCTACTAGGGAGGATGAGGTGGAGGATTGCTTGAACCTGCGAGTTTTTTCTTTTCTTTTTTTGAGACAACAGTCTCAATATGCTGTCTTCAGTAGAGTGCTATGGTGTCACAGCTCAAAGCAACCTCAAACTCTTGGACTTAAATTATTCTCTTGCCTCAGCCTCCCAAGTAGCTGGGACTACAGGTGCCCACCACAACGTCCAGCTATTTTTTTATTGTTGTTGTTGTCATTGTTGTTTGGCAGGGTTCAAACCAGCCAGCCCCGGTGTATATGGCCAGCACTGAGCTACAGGAATGGAGCCTTGAACCCAGGAGTTTGAGGTTGCTGTGAGCTAGGATGATGCCACTGCACTCTAGCCTAGGTGACAGAGTAGGACTCTCTCTCTCAAAAAAAATCTCATTAAAGCAACAACAAAGAAATGGTCCTGAATGGTGATAATTTCTTTTGATTATGTTTCAGACCTTTCATGGCTCTTTCCTTTTAATGCAACACAGGGTGCTTTGCTCAACCAAAAATTGGTAGATAAATTATTTGACAAAGAGTTAAGTACTACTTCCATGTGTATAAGACATTCTGCGACCCTTTAATTCTGAAATCTCCAGGTTATTTACAAAACCAATAAAGTAAAACCAAGATCATCTCAGAGTATACAGTTGACAGATTTGCAGCATCCAGAGTAAGAGTTAGGGTCACCATGGGACAGACTAGGAAATCTTGAAATTACTGAGTCACATTAAAAAAAAAAAGAGAGAGAAAAGGTAAATATTCACTATCTAGCTCAAAAGCATGGTGAAATAAATAAGGGAAACAGCAGGAAAACAG